GCAACTCGTGTTGGTGCTTTAAGAAAGAAAATCTGGAAGACCAAAAATTTAAAATTAGCAGGCAAAAGAAATTCAAAAGTACTTCAAAATAAATAGCAAAACAATGAAGTGTGTCCTGTATCACTAAACGTATTCAAATACACTAAGCTTATTTAAACATAAATGACACGTGTTTTGATTTAAGGATGTCTCATTTTTAAAAAATCAATGGCATGTGTTCTTCTTTGTTGCTTGGTTGTGCATATCGCAAAATATGCATTAACGTTCTTAATATGCAATTTGATGTCCAAGAGTTGGAGTAAAAGAAATGTTGGAAGCTGATCTTGAATATGTAAAAATGGTGCATCTTTGACGCTGGCTAGTGAACCTTGAGGCAAGGTTAAATTCAACCTCTTTGAGATCTGGTTTTGGCCTACACCACTTCTCTTCCTTATTGATAAAGCACCAGCAGTTTACCATGACAATAGATTCTTTTATTACCAGAATGGCGGATATGTCCACACTATCAAAAACATTTTTGTTATAGTTGTACTAAAAAAGCTGGTAATAAGTCCCCGCAAAACTCTTACTCACTCTGAGTTTTGCCTTCATCCTCACTCCATCAGAAGATAACCCTCACTCCATAAGATGTTTGGTAATATATATATTTTTTCCTTGGGAATGAATAACTGTGACACCCTCCTAACCAAGTGGCAAGTCAAAAGAGAATCAAATAATTCAATTTACAAAATTGTAGTATTCTTAAAATTCACTAAAATACTCATCCTATTTTACATATCAGTCTAGAGTACATAATACACATTGCAAATTCTTTATGATGCAATGAAAATTTGCTATAATGCACTAAAAATGCATATCATTGTTTTTAAATGCAAATTTTTCTTGAGAGTCAAATAATTCAGTTTATAGAACATGCACTGGGGTGTTCTTATAATTCACAAAAATACTTTTCTTACTTTACAAATTCGTCTGAGGTTTACTTAATATGCACTTTGAATTTTTTATAATGCACTAAAGATTCTCTATAATGCATGCATATTTTATGGATTTTCAAAGCGAGGTAATGAGTAATGACTAATCTTTGCTATTTAGCATCTATGTAACAATCCATTACAATAACTTCATGTGGGTAGAAAGTATTTGCTAGAAATTGGGACAAAGTGAAAGTGGATAATTGGACATATAGTAAAAATAAGAACAAAGTGAAAGTGGATGATAATTGGACATATAGTAAAAAACAGAGACTTAAGCATTAAAGCAAAGCAAAAGTGTGAATATAGTAAAAATAAGTGAATAAGAACATCCTTAAACAAAGTGAATAAGAACAAGAATGTGGAGATAATGAACCGACAATGAAATGTATTTCGCATTTTTGGGTCTGAACCGATAATGAACACTTAATACATAAATAAGTAAATAAAAATATAAATATAGTAAAAAGGCATACACCAAATATGAAATTGGGCGGATAATGGGCATTAGATTTAATGATTGATTGTGAAAAACTGCAACACCTCAAAGAACATACCTCATTAAAAAGAAGAATTCATCGGCAAACTTTTTAGAGATGAATACAAGGGATAATGATTGACCTCAATAATGATTGATCGTGCTCACCAGCAAACTTCTTATGAGAAGGGATATGTATGGTCTTAGGGTAATGAACACGCAGTGGAGACATTAGAGAGTCCATGGCAGTAGATGAAGAAACAGATCTCGCAAAGAGTGGAGATCATTTGCGGATTTTAAGCTTATAAAATAAGATGATAATACGAAATCAAATAGATACAAGTAAAATCCCAAAATACCCCGTGCTTGAAACGGCTGCAGCATCTAAATCTTTAGAGATCTAACGGTTAAAAACTATTCTCATTTCTTTCATTAGATCTTATTCTTATTTGAACCAAACTCTATATATATATATATATATATATATATATATATATATATATATATATACATATATATATATATATATATATATATATATATATATATTGGTTCTGGTGAGAATGCGATCTTAGGAGAGAAATGAGAATGAATCTGGTGCTTTAGATTGTGCGATCAAAGGGTTAGGATTGTATCAAAATTAGGTGCAACAAAATCGTTTGAAAATGCATCACATCGAAATGCATCATAATCCTTTGAAAATGCACTATCTCAAAATCTGAGCGCAGGATGCAATCTGAGCCGCACGATGCATCAGATCCAACGGCTAGATTTCATTCTCATTTCTCTCCAACGGCTATATATATATATATATATATATATTATTAGCATTAGTTTATTATGGTAATTACATTTTTAATTACCTTTTGTGTTATACGTTCTTATTTTTTTAATTACCACTAGTATCACACCCGTGCGTTGTAAATTTCGAAAAACTTCTTTATAAACTACATCACTCGTATGTACGGAGTATAATTTATGTAAGCATTCACTTCGTTGTATATCAGAATCTTCAAGCCATTGCGATTTATTACTCTTTAAACTGCAACATATACTTTCTCATGACTAAATACCAGTTTCCGTAACAATAATTCAATATGTTTCAGATATTGTTCTTGATAATAATTTAATAATTTGACTTATCTAAGTAATAATTCAACATATTAATGTATTTTTTTGGAATTTGTATTTTTTAATTTTATTTTCGTATTTAAGTGGTATCATTAACTTACCCTATGGTATTTATTTTCTATTTTATTTTAGATCACTTACCATTTTTACACGTATCCATGCTTGTAAATTATAGTATTAATAGTATTTATTTTAGAATACTTATACCATTGTTACATGTTTTCATGCTTATAATATTAATAGTATTAATTCATAATTTTTTAATTTTTGCATTTAAATGGTACCGTTTGCTTAATGTACCATATTTATTTTTCAGCAAATTTATTAAAAATTGACAAGCCCCTCATAAAAAATTTACTTGGCTTGTCAAATTACAGCACCAAACCATTTTGGGAGATGCTCTAACCCTAATAAAACTTACTCCTTACCATACTCCACCAATTTCTTTTAAACCCTAGAGTCTGGAGCTCCCCACGCCAATCTTCCCTACGCCGCTCATTCAATCTTCTTCTCAACACTCTCTAAAATGGTGAAGAAAAGCAAGAGTAAGCCATCTTTGTTCCTTTTATTACTCTTTAATTTTGATTTATTTTTTGTCTACAATTGAGTGTGATTTCAGAATTATCTTGGGGTTTCTCGCTTGCTGTGCAGAGAGTAAGAGCAAGAGGACAACGCTGAAGAACAAGTACAAGGTCATACGGAAGGTGAAGGAGCACCACAGGAAGAAGGCTAAGGAAGCCAAGAAAGCGGGCCTCCACCGCAAGTCCAAGGTTGAGAAGGACCCCGGCATCCCCAATGACTGGCCCTTCAAGGAACAGGAGCTCAAGGCTCTTGAGGATCGTCGTAATCGAGCCCTAGAGGAACTGGAACAGAAGAAAGCTGCCCGCAAAGAGAGGGTACTGATTATTCTATTGTGAAATTTTGAAATGCTTGATTTTTTGTTGTAGTTTTTACTCCCTCTTCCCGAAACTAAATTCACAGCGCAAACTGACTGTTTTCACATAATTCCTATAGTTTTTATTAAATTCCTATAGTTTTAATGTTTTGTACAAAATTTTTCACATAGGGAACAGAGTGGCTATTTTCACATAAAACCAGTTTTTACTATATTCACAGCAAAAATTAAATATCAAGCCTAGGAATTTAGTGGAACATAGTTCTTACGCGCTTGTTTTAAAGAGCATTTGATGTATTTTCTACTAACTGGGTTTTAATTTTCTTGGAACATGTTAGAAATTGAACATTTGCCCTTTTATTCTATGTTTTGATTGTATTTTAGGGATGCACTCAATTGATATTTCACCACTTTTGACCCTTTTGTGTACATCCACTACGGCATATAATTTTA